GGTATATTCTCGTTACATTACGATAGGGCCATGGACCCCGCAGATTTAGCTCAACAGATGGCGTCCCATGAGGCAAGATTTGTAGAGCAGGATCACCGTATGGATCAGATAGCTCAGGCTCTCCAGACGCTCCTAGCTAGAACCGTTCCAGCAACCACACCTAACCCTCCTACGCCCCTTCTCCCTGAAGTATCTACTTTGCCTAATACTTCGGCCCATTTAACACCTCCTCCTAGGTATGGAGGGGACTCTAAGACTTGCAGAGGGTTTATTAATCAAATTGAATTCCACTTCGAAATGTATCCACGTTCATTTCCCACAGAGAGGTCTAAGGTTGGGTTCTTTATGCACCAACTCACCGATAAGGCACTTGAGTGGGCAAATCCTATTTGGGAAGCTAATGGACCTATGGTGCATGATTTCAACAGTTTTCTTACGGCTTTTCGTAGAACTTTTGACACAATGAAAAGGTCAAAGAATGCCGCGAGAGCATTAATGAGAATTAAACAGGGTTCTAGGTCTGTGGCTGATTATGCTATTCAGTTTCGCACTCTTGCTTCGCAGGTAGATTGGACCAACAATGGGTTAACTACTGCCTTTATGGAAGGTTTGTCAGATACGATATTGGATGAGGTAGCAGCTAAGGAGCTTCCTACTGCCTTAGAGGACCTTATCGATTACCTCATTGATATAGATAATAGAATTCGTGACAGGCTCTATACCAAGGAATAGACGTTTTGTTACACCCATTAACCCCAGAGTTAATATACCAGAGAGTGTTAAAGTGTCTGAGGAGGAACCTATGCAATTAGGGGTTGCCAAACTCTCTGATACTGAGAAATTACATAGGAGAAGGGAGGGACTCTGCCTATACTGTGGTAGGAGAGACCATATGGTAAAGGAATGTCCTTTACTCCCGGAAAACTCTCGCACCTAAGACCTTATAGGGGACTGGCCTTGGGTGTGATATCTAAGTCTCCTAAATTGCCTCCTAACCGCTTGCTTCTCCCGGTTTCTTTATATATGGGAGAGATTTGTATAGTTGACAACATATATGCTCTGGTTGACTCTGGGGCAGCTGAAAATTTTATAGACTCTGGCTTTATAAAGAGAAACAACATTCCCATCAGAGAGAAGGAGATACCCTTGGCCGTTGAGGCCATAGATGGTAGACCATTAAGTTCTCCAGTTGTTACTCATGAGACTGTACCATTACACATGTACACAGGGGTTTTACACTATGAAACCATTCGATTCCAGGTCATCACCTCTCCCTCTTCAGTTAGTATTAGGGTATCCATGGTTACGTGCTCACAATCCCATTTTTGACTGGGAGACAGGGCAAATAAAATCATGGAGTGAGGCCTGCCACAAGTCTTGTACGTTGGAAGTCACACCTTTGAATTCTATTGAGGTACCTACCAGTCCTCCTTTGTCTACGGTTATACCCCCTCAGTATTTATCTCTAAAGACTGTTTTTGATAAAAGGGAGGCTGAGAAATTACCGCCTCACAGACCCTATGATTGCGCTATTGACTTGTTGCCTGGCACTATACCTCCAAAGGGCAGGGTGTACCCCTTATCGGTTCAAGAAAACCGTGTCATGGAGGAGTATATTAAGGAATCATTAGAAAAGGGGTTTATTAGGAGATCCTCTTCTCCAGCTGGAGCAGGGTTCTTCTTTGTATCGAAGAAAGAAGGTGATTTAAGACCGTGTATAGATTATAGAGGTCTAAACAAAATCACTATCAAAAATGCATACCCTATACCTTTAATTACAGAATTATTTGACAGGCTGAAACATGCCACTGTGTTCACTAAATTAGACCTTAGGAGTGCATACAATTTGATACGTATAAAGGAAAATCACGAATGGAAGACTGCATTCAACACTAGATCCGGTCATTACGAATATACTGTTATGCCATTTGGGCTTTGCAATGCCCCAGCAGTATTCCAAGAATTTATTAATGATGTCTTAAGAGATTTTATTCACACATTTGTTATCGTATACTTGGACGACATTTTAATATATTCTACAGATATACACACTCATCACAGACATGTTACGACAGTTTTGAAGACCCTTCTTGCTAATGGTCTTTATTGCAAGCTAGAAAAATGTCTGTTTGACCAAACCGAAGTCCAGTTCTTGGGGTATTTGATTTCCGCTAAAGGTTTTCGTATGGATCCCCAGAAGCTTGCTGCTGTAATAGAATGGCCTCTACCGCAAGGTCTGAAAGCTATTCAGCGTTTTCTTGGGTTCTCCAATTATTATAGACGTTTTATCAAAGGTTTCTCGTCCATTGTAGCACCTATTACCCGTATGACTAAAAAGGATGGCAATACTCGTGTTTGGTCTACCGAGGCACTTCAGGCTTTTGAATTTCTTAAAACTACGTTCGCCTCTGCACCTATTTTACAGCATCCTGTCCCCTCACTGCCCTATATTCTTGAAGTTGATGCTTCGGATATTGGGGTAGGTGCTGTCTTATCCCAAAGAGAGTCGCCTGAAAAGCCATTGCATCCATGCGGCTTCTTTTCTAAACAAATGTCCAAAGCAGAGAAAAATTATGATGTGGGTAATCGCGAACTCCTTGCTATTATTTTAGCACTTAAAGAGTGGAGACATTTGTTAGAAGGAACTAAGGATCCTATCCTCATTTTTACGGATCACAAGAACCTATCCTACCTTAGCGAAGCCAAAAGATTGTCTTCCAGGCAGGCTAGGTGGTCACTATTTTTGTCCCGTTTCAATTTTATTATCACCTATAGGCCAGGTGATCGCAACACTAAAGCAGACGCTCTGTCCAGACAGTTCGAAACTACTGACAAACAGGAGATTGATGTTACTCCTGTCATTCCCCCAGACAGGATAATAGCTACTACTATTTTGTCTATTTCCTCGTCCCTCTTGCAGGCCATACAAGCGAAACAAAGCATGGCACCTAGCGAGAGGCCTAATGATAAACTGTTCGTTGATGTTCCTGAGAGACGGGATATTATGTCATTATATCATGATACTAAGACTGCTGGACATCCTGGTATTTCCAAAACGGTGTCAGCTGTTTCTCGGTATTTTTGGTGGGATTCCTTACGAAAGGATGTCACTGACTATATAAGTGCTTGTACTACTTGTGCCTGTATGAAATCCTCCCGTAGAGTTCCTTGTGGGCTGTTGTATCCGTTACCCGTTCCCGAGAGACCTTGGTCTAACCTGTCCATGGATTTTATTGTTGAATTACCCCCTTCAAATGGTAACACAGTAATCCTGATGATAGTGGATCGGTTTTCCAAGATGGCTCACTTCGTGTCTCTTCACAAGTTGCCCACATCCAAGGAACTGGCTCATATCTTCGCTAGAGAAGTATTTTGATTACATGGTATTCCCGTATCTATTGTATCCGATAGGGGTAGCCAATTTATTTCCAGGTTCTGGAGGGCCTTTTGTTCAGAAATGGGTATTTCTCTCTCATTTTCTTCCGCTTATCATCCCCAGTCTAATGGGGCTGCTGAACGTGCCAACCAGTCTCTGGAGCAATACCTCCCTTGTTTTGTGTCTCACCATCAGGACAATTGGTCTGACCTGCTTCCTTGGGCTGAATTTGCTCGGAATAACGCCACTCATGATTCTTCCGGCAAGACCCCTTTTTACGTTGTCTATGGCCAGCATCCCGTTGTTCTTCCGGCTGCATTCTCCTCACAGGGCATGCCAGTTCTGGATGAGCATTTGGCTGGTTTGCGTAATACTTGGGAGCAGGTTCAGTGTTCTTTGGTGGACTCTGCTACTCGCCAGAAGGCTCAGGCTGACAAGCACCGCAGAGCAGCTCCGTCCTATGTTGTGGGGGACAGGGTTTTGCTTTCCACGCGGAATATTCGTCTCCGGGTGCCTTCTATGAAATTGGCTCCCCGCTTCATTGGACCTTATCATATTATACATAAGGTTAATCCTGTTTCTTATGCCTTAGGCCTGCCTAAGAATCTACGTATTCCTAATGTTTTTCACACCTCATTGTTGAAACCTTTCGTACGCAACCGCTATACCCGGCATACTCCTCCTCCCCCTCCTATCTCGGTGGAGGGTCATGAGGAGTTTGAAGTGTCTGCTGTTCTTGACTCTCGCTTCCTTAGGGGTCGACTTCAGTACTTGGTACATTGGAAGGGTTATGGGCCTGAGGAGCACAGTTGGATTTCGGCTGATGCTGTCCATGCTCCCCGTCTTGTGCGCTCTTTCCTTTCTCGTTTTCCTGCCAGGCCTGGTCCTACCCGCCCGGGGGGCGTGTCCTCAGGGGGGGGTACTGTAGCGTTACTTACCTTAACCGGGGGCCGGTCGCGGTCCTCTCTTCAAGCCGCGCGCGGTCCTGCGGCTCATCCAACTGCTTTGGATGGAAGGCGGGCAGTGACCGCGTGAGGCTCGGGCGCGCTCTTAAAGAGACAGTGGGAGCCTAATTGCCAAAAGGCTCCCATTGGCTCCTGTCATACCACACTCCCTGTACAATTACCTATAGGGGGTGTGGAAGTGACAGGAGCCAATCACTTTGGTTTAAAAGCTATTTAACTTACCTTTTTCCCTTAGCTAGTTGCACTATCGTGGTTTCTGTTCCAGTTCCCTTTAGCGCTTGTGGTGTTCACTTGTGTTCTCTCGTATTGACTTTGGCTTCGTATTCTGACTTCGTTTTCGCTTTATCCTTATCTGTACTGTTTGCCGGCTTGCTGTTTTCCGTGTACCAGACCCCGGCTTGTCCTAGTTTACGCTTTCTCTCTGTGCCCTTGACCTCGGTTTGTTCCTGGCTCTGTCTCCTCTCATATACGTCGAGTCCGGCCATTCTAAGGTCCGGTAGACGTATCTCTCCTCTGTATCTGCCTCTGTTTAGCTGGATCCTGCGTGTAGGGGTATATTCTCGTTACATATATGAGGGGATTTCCTTGTCTGCTAGGTTCATGAGTGATGTGTAACAAAAGGACAATGCTTTAATGTCCTTCAGTTTTCCTTGGCACTTGGAGAAATTGTGTTTTTTGTTGTAATGTTCTGCCTCTATGTAGTTTGTGATCATGTAGGATGTTTTTAATGCTTAGGTATGTGAATAATTCCCTAGACGGGAGGCTGAATGTCTGTTGTAGTATTGGGAAGGGTGTCACTCCCGCATCATCGATCAAGGAGCTCACATGGAGAATACCCTGTCGTACCCAAGTATCAAGGCACAGATCGTGTGTGGAGTGTTAGTGATTGCAAGGGCGCGGCATGTAGGAGGTCTCTACCTATTTCCAGTTTTAGGATCGACTGTCTCCATATACGGAGCAGCAGTTTCGTCGGGGGTAGGATATTAGCGTCCTGTAGCTGCCGGTCCGAGCATGCCCAAAGGGCATCCTTTACCGTTCCTTTTGACATACAGGCATTTTCTAGTGCCAGCCAGACGGGGGATGCCATACCTTCCAGGATCGTGAGGCCCTGTGCCAGTATTGATGCTTTGTAATATAGCTGAACGTTGGGCACACTAAGGCCTCCTTCCGAAAGGAGTCTCCAGATCAATTTATGTGAGACTCGGGGAGGTTTTCTCTTCCAGATATGTGCGTTTATGATCGATTGGAATCTTTTCACTATTGCGTTTGGGATCGCTATCGGCAGTGTACGGAAGAGGCATAAGATGTGTGGCATAATCATCATCTTAACAGTATTAATGCGCCCCAGCCACGAGATCCCTTTATCGTCCCATTGTTTGAGTTGGAGATCTAGTTTCCGCAGAAGCGAGATATGATTCACTTTAGTAACTAATGTGGGTGTGGCCCGTAATTGAATACCTAGGTACGAAATCGAAGTTTTACGCCAATCGAATGGATATTCAGATTTGAGGGTTTGTAGTGTGTGGTGTGGCATGCGGATTGCTAATGCTTGCAATTTTTTTTTCCGCATTATTCCTATAGTATGACACCTTGCCATATCTATCCAAAAGTGCCAAGAGATTGGGGAGGGAATTGGAAGGATCAGTGATGAATAGCAGGATGTCATCCGCAAATAGAGCAATTTTCATAGTTCCTATTGGTGTGTGTAGTCCCTGAACCGTGTCTAGTGATTTGATATGTTTAACCAGTGGCTCCAGGCAGAGGATGAATATCAGCGGAGAGAGAGGGCAGCCTTGCCTGGTGCCATTGGTTATTTGGAAGGGCTTGGAGAGAAAGCCGGTGTTGTATACCTTAGCTGAGGGGTTAGAGTACAGGGCCAGTACGCTCTTTTGGAACGAGGGGGGAAACCCCATTCTGGTCAACACTGCTGTTATATAAGACCAATTTAGGCGATCAAAGGCCTTTTCAGCATCGAGTGCTAGTAGTATGCCCTGTTGTTGTTTTTTT